AATCTGTTTTAGGCAGTTTTTTGCAAGTGTCTTAGCCTTGCCTTTCTCCTTTGCTTTCTCTGAAAACGGTACAACATTTCACCTGTATATTTATGCAGATTAACCTGGCTGCTGACCCAAGGCAGCCTGCATTGGCAGAGTTTTAAATCTACAGTGTTGTTGACAACTACGGTGTGTTGTGCCTTGTAGATGTGCTCTGCTGCACCCTGTACCAGTTTGTCTTCCACTGTGGGTTGCTTGCTTCTGAATTAGGACTGGTTTGGGGATTGTCCCTCCACAGGCTGGAGGGGAGGCCACAGGGCAGGTTGTGGCCAGCTTCATGTCTTCAGGCTCTCCTAATTGATGTGGTTTTGTTTGTTTTTGATAGAAATTTAGGTGGTTTAGAAGTTAGTGACAGCCAGTGAGGAAAAGGGCAACAAGGAATGGGCTGTTCATCATCTCTTGACATCCTTCTTGTCACACTAAGAGAAATACACATACCCACAGGACTTGAAACACCGAGTAAATGTGATGTTTCCACCATAACAAACTGCTATCTGTTCCCAAAAAATTGACTTTATGTGATTTCTTATTAAGCTGTGAGATACCTACTGGGATGTAAAGCAAAATGTTTTCTCTTCAGAATTTCTGCTGACATACAAGGGAAAATCCATTCCAGGGCAGTATTCACTATATTTTCAGCAAACTTACCAATTACTTACTTTTTAATTATATATGGTTTTGGTAGGAAAATGTCAATAACAGCAGGTTTGGGGTTTTTTTTACTTTTATGTTCAGTTCCATTTATGCCCTGTTCCAGCTGCACTTAACAAACTTATTCACTAGGTGGAGAATAGAAGCAAGTACTTGACCTGATTGTGTAGATTTTAGACATTTTTTTGGGTTTTAAAATGACATTTTCACAGAATGGCCTCAATATCTGAAATGAAGGCAAATATTTTTGAGTTTTACTTTAATATGTACATTAAGATATAAAATTGTAGTAATTTCGAAAATATAATAATTTTGACTGAGTTTTCTCAGCTTTCAAATATTTTTTTCTGTGAAAAAATCTCTTCTGTCATTTAGTATTGTTTTCTTTTTGAAGAAGTGAATATATTCCAAGTTCATAAGTCTCATGAGAATTTCTTTTCCATGCTGTTTATTTATTGAAAGATACTATTTATATACACCAAAGAGTGGAAGAGGACAAGAAGTCTGCTCCTGTATAAAATAGTAGAAGCTTTACTATGTTTCTGTTATTATTGAAGAAAAATTGGTCATGGTGTTTCTTTAATTTTACCTATTTGCAAGTTGTTCCATGTATTCATCTTCTCACAGTAAGATTTACCCAGTCTTGAACTTGAGCATCAGCTTTATCTTTGAAGCTGTCTTGTGCTACATTGAGTATCCCTGTAGTCCTCCAGGCTGCAGGGCAGGTCACAGTGTTAATGCACCAGCTGATCCAGCTGCAAGTCAGGCACACACAGTCAGGATATTGCAACAGCAAGCCTGAGAGAAGCATCCAGACCAGCAGCTGAGAAAACAGCAGCAGTGTAATGTTTTCTTTAGAATTCAGCTGTGTATGCTTACAGAGCTGGAGATCTAAAGGAAGCTGTTTGGAGCAGAAACCTTTCTTTTTCATCTTATGTCTGCTTGTGTGCATATTTGTGCTCCCCTTGCCAAGCCATCTCCATGATTCAGCGGGATTCCTGAGCCCCATTCCGGAGGTAGGTGATGCCAAGAAAGCTGTAGAGTGTTTGGTGCAGCATGGACAGACATGTACCTGGGATTGTCCTTGCAACAGCAATGGAAGTCCTGAGGCAGTCCCAAGACCCTTCCCTCCATAGGCTGAGGGAAGGCAAGTCCAAGTGTGAATTCATAAGAAGTCTGGAAATAAATTCTGTGCTTTCCCTTCAGATGCCGACTATGCTAATATTATTACCCTTGTGGGAGTTCGTGTAGGAAAGAACAGACTCCAGAGACTTCTAACTAATTAGGAGCTTGCTGGTTGGCATAAGTAATGAATTATGAGTGAGGTGATACATGAAGTAGTTTGATTTTTTACCCTCAAATTGTAACATAGCATTGTCTTAACTAGGAAACAGAGACTGACCTTGCATTAGTTGGGGAATAGCATGTACAGATGTGGTTGCATGTTGGATTGGAAATGAAGTCCCAGGGTTGTTCTGATATTGAGCATTTCAATAATACTCCAGTGGATTAGTCTCTAATAATAATGCCAAAGCAATGCAGATGAGTAAGCATGTCATATATGGCATTATAAGGACAGTAATCATGTGCGATTTAAGAAAGTGAAGATGAAAAACAGAATGATGAGGGTATCAAATGGGCCTGGTTCAGAGCACTTGCAGGGATAACAGGACTCTTACAAGCAAAACCAGCTTAGGTAGTTTAATTTCTTCCTGATATGATTATGTACAACAAAAGCTACAAAATCCTTCAGAGCAGCAAACCTAATGAAACTACTGTGCACGCCTGGATGACCTTATTTGTCAGTGTGCAATGAGCACTTCACACCACTCCTCCCTTACAGAGCTGGTGCATCTTTCCCTCCTGCCTACCAAGGAAGAGTGCCTAGAAGTCACTGTTCTGTTGGCAGAAGTAAACAGAAATTTGTCATAATAGATGGTGAGGAGGAACAAGCCTGGTCATTACTTTCCATGCCAGTAGTTGAAGGGAATTGTATAATTGTTAGCCTGCTTAAAACACTGCTTGGATCTTCTGTTCCACGTGTACTTTGGGCAGCAGAGAATTGCCCAGCCTTGGGTTGCAAACTCAGAACCTATGTAAAACACATGACAGTATTATGCTATGGCAAAAGATTAGGTATTGCATTGCAGTGCAGTGCCTTGTTCATGTGCTGTGTACACATTATGGCAAAGTATTTGTTAAAAAAAAACAAACCTTAGTTGGTTACTAAAAGCCAGATTGTACTACTGAGAATTAAAAGGAAGAATTCAGTATGGGAGATGGGAGAGGAGGGGAATTTTCCTTTGGATTCCAGATCTTGTGGTTGAGTAAACCCTGAATAAACATGTGTCACACACTGGCAGAACACCTGAGGTTGCATCGTGGGTGCCAATGTACATTATCTTCAGCTGCAATAAGTACTGTGACTAACTCTTGTATTCATTATGAATACTTACAGGTTTTTCTAAAACTGAAAGCAGCATTTTGGTCCATAGCATCTCTACAGCTATGCAACATGTCTGCATGTTCAGAAGCAGGTAATCACATCTGGTCTTTCTGAGCTGTCAAAAAGGCCAGATGTGTGCAAACATTATGGGAGCTCAACAGCTTCCAGATGGTACCAGATAGTGGTTTGGTGCCAGCCAAGTTGGAGAATGCACTGGTTAGCTATGCTGCTGTCTGCTTCTGACAACCTGTGTTACTGAATACATTGCAGAATTTTTTGGTAGTAGAAGCTTTATAAGCATAGAGGAATTCTTGTCCAAGCATGTAAGTCATGCTGTATAATGGTAAAAATGTGAATAACTGAAGTGAGGTCATCATTAGCTGGAATAGGTAGAAGAGCCTGTCAGACACCTAGAAATGAGCAGGAGCACAGGCTGATGCCACATCAGAAAAAGATTCAGCAGCTAATCCTATTAGAAGTACTTCCAAGGATTACAAGCCTATGCACCAGGACTGGAGTCTCTTCTGAATGATTTCCTCTATCTGTCACCATTTCCTCAAATACAGAGATAATGGTGGTGGTTTGGCAATTCTTGTTCAGGACAGCAGTTCTTTGTCATAAAGTGAAAATGTGTTATGTCATCTCCTCAGTTATGTGGAATAATCTTGACAGAGCCTTGTTCCTATTTGTATAGTGCTACTTCTACAATTAGTGGTGAACATTTGAATATATACAAGGACCTTGCCTGGTTTTGGGGAGGCTTTTCCTCTTTAAATCTTATGCTGCAACAGCAAACTTGCTGATGCAGTGCAGACATACTGTTTGTTTACAGTGAATATATGATGTTTGTATCTGATCAATTCACCTAAAGCTGTGTATTAGTACTGAAAAGGAGGATCCTGAGATGGATGATCCTGAGATGGATGATGCTTACAGGATTTTTCCATGTTCTTTAGGATTTCATGTATTTTTCCAGAATACCTGGGCAGCTGGTGGTTTTACTAGGTCTTCCCTGACTGCAAACAGTGGACATGTGGCTTTCTAGAGTTGCAGTCCTGCTGAAACTGCATATGTAGGTTACCTTGTCCACCCATGTGCAATAAGGACATCTCTGAAAGTCTGAGGCTTTTTGCTGCATGTGGCCTGCCTTTGTTGTCTGTGGAATTAACTTACCATTTTCCAAGAATGAAGCAACTGCAGAAGAAGGTGTTTTAGCATGTGAGGGAAATTTTATATACACTTAATCACTATGAAAACCCTTCACTGACTTTATACCTGTTCTGCAGAAATTGCAGAGAGTTACAGTGGAGCTGTATTTATGTAAAAATAAGGAATAAAACTGTTAAGATCTGAAGTATCTCTGTCTGGATTCTTGCTATATTCAATTGTTCTATTAACACTGACATCTGCTAGTGGCCTCAAAGTGAGTCTGAACATAAAATTATAGTTCTGTTATATCATTGTGTGGTTTACTCTTCTATATAATCAGTTGAAGTGCATTATAAAGCACAGAGGTCAGAGGTAGAGAGCAGAAAATGAGAAAATACAGCTTTTTTAAAATGTGAAACAACTATCTTTAGTTATAAGTGTTCCCAGACTTCATATTTGTGGGCTCTGTATAGTATACTAGCACGCTGGTGTCTTTTTTAATAACCTTTTACAGAACATATGGCTCAAGATTTATCTGTATGCAGAGCCTTGTGGACAGAACTTGTAAATTGTAACATAAAACATCTCCAGATGTACATGTTATTTCTTACTAACACAGAATGATTTTCTTGGGAAGAAGGTGACGTATTAGAAAGGCAACATCTGTGTTACTACTTAAATTTTAATAATGTGAATAATTTTCTTTCAACAGAGGAATTCAAGGGCTCAACAATAGTTGAATTAATGAAAAAAGAAGGCACCACCCTAGGGCTCACAGTATCGGGTGGTATCGACAAGGATGGGAAACCAAGAGTATCTAACCTTCGTCAAGGAGGAATCGCTGCTAGGTAACCACATCTCCAGCTACAAAATGCATTATAATATGTGATTGCTTCACAAATACATACTGCATCAGAAAGGTCACCTAAAAAATATGTGCCTGATGCATCTATAATGGCAGCCCATCAGTAGAGAACCTCAGAGGAAAATGGCAGCAGCTAGTGCTTCTTTTTGCTCAAGACTACTTTGATAAAAACTGGAAATACCAATGAAATCTTTGAAAGTTGTCATAAGACTCATGTTATTTCTTCTAAATTATGTATGTTTTATTTCTTGGGTTTTTTTGTCTTTGAACAAAAATTTGAGAGGAGTAGCATAACATAGTAGGGGGAAAAAAACCAAAATGGATAAAAAGAATGATAGTGCTGCCATAATTTTATTCTTTTTTTTTAATTCTTCATTAGATAGCTTTGAGATTAAAAAGACTCGAAAGTGATAGGTACCTTGCTTTATACTGCTACAGTGGAAAGAGAAACGCTTTTAATCATGAGTGAGACAAGTGAAAAGATCAGGGTTGAGCTAAATCATCCCAACTGAGTAGAACATATGCTTTTGGCCCTGGCCCATCTCCTGTTGATATGATGTTAGCTGTGAAGGCAACCAGTGTCCAAAACAAAATTGTTTATGGACATTTCCCAAAGAGAGAGACAGGGATGGGGACATGAAGAAGATGACTTCCCAGATCCTATGCCCAAACCAGTCAAATCATCCAACTCCTTTATTGTACAGATGGTTTTGTACCTCAGTGAATAATGCAACAATATTCTTACTTTAATATTTTAAGAAACTAGAGTAGATTAACATCTTAAAATGCCACTTTCTATTAGAAAAATCAACTCGTTTTAATCTAGATTCATAGAAAAAAAATTCTTACAGTCACTAAACAGTAATTTAAGGGATTTAGTTTGGTTGATCAGATTTGTCTTTCATGAAAGGAATATGTACTGTTCCCTAGGAGTGACCAGCTGGATGTAGGGGACTACATCAAATCTGTGAATGGAATCAACCTGACCAAATTTCGCCATGATGAGATCATCAGCCTGCTCAAGAATGTTGGTGAAAGGGTTGTGTTAGAAGTGGAATATGAGCTGCCTCCAGTCTGTAAGTATTTGCAGAGAAAACTGAAAGCCTATTTGGAATAGCAGATGTAGTCAACAGTAAGATAGGCATGGTTGGTAGTAGTCATTTTAGTAGTGGTTCTTAATTCTATTTTTTCCTGTGGCTTATAACAGAGCGTTGAAGCAGTACAAAAGAACTGGCAGTACAGAGGGATGCTCTCACATATTTTAGAAGCAGAAATCCCGCCAACAACAGAGCAGAGTTACCAATCTCTGCTTTTTGTTGGTTTTTGATCTTCTGGGGATGTGGGTTGGTTTTTGGTTGGTTTTTGGTTGGTTGGTTGGTTGGGTTTGGGAATTTTTGCTCCGAAGCTGATGAACTTCCCCACTGCTTTCTAGCAGCTGGAGGGTTAGTCTAGTTATGTATTTGGGGTTTTTTAGAACCTCCTGACAAGCACATGGAAAAATTTTGCATGTCCTCTGTTTATTAGTGTTTGCCTGTGGAGAGGGAGCTTCATGTTCTGAAGCACAGTATCTGAATTAATCAGCTGAGTTCAGAGTTACTTTGCTGCAGATGTAGTTGTTTCACCAGCATTATTTGTTTTGCATTTATTCAACTGGGCTTTCTCTGGTTTTCATCCTCTTTTTGCATATGTGCCACTCTTGTTCGCTGAGACCGGATTTTGACATGCTAAATTACAGCAGCATTTATAACTTTTTCTTTAAGTCCTTGGAATTTCCAGCCTCTTCATACAAGAATAGATAATAAAGTTGGAGATAATTAGCAGTCTAGTTGTTTCCATGAACTACTAGTGAGCAAGCTGCTTTTGTTAAACATGTAAGTTTTCCAGTAAGTCATGTGGAGAAGTCCTGGCACTTCCTTCCCATCCCCATACATAATGAAATTCTACTGTTTTTCCCATGCTTGCTCCCTCAGAGGGAGGACTGTCATAGTTTCAGAGCCAAAAAATGTCAGTCATTTAATAATGATGGATTAAATTTGGCTGAGCTCTGGTAATCCCACTCCCTAGTGCTTCCTTCCATTTCTGAAGTGTTCACAGCAGGAGCATCCAGCTGCTGTTTTCAGCAGGAGACACCTCAGTGTTTAAAACTGGAAGGTGAGCAGAGCCCGTCCCGTGTCTGCCTTTCCCGGCTGGCAAGGGTTAAGGAGTTTTTTTCCCAGAGCAGGCTGAGGCTGGGGTGCAAGGACAGGCACCTGAGTGGCTGTCCCCAAGTGGAAGGAGGCAGCTGCCATTGCTCGCTGCTGAACTGTGAGTTTCACCTCTCCCCTGTGGAAGTTACACAAATGGCCACACCAAACAAATGGGGAAGTGCGGATTCCTCATGAGCTACGTGCGAGGTCACTTTCTGTCAATAGGAATGAAGGCAGAAGTTGTCTTCTCCTCATGGTCCATTTTTAGTCAGTAAAACGTTTTTAATTGAAAAGAAAACAACCACATGGACTCAGTAACACAGTCACGATCTTCAAGCTGTAGCAGGAATTACTACAGCACAGAGCAGTGCTCTGGAGGGCCACGTTTCACCTGTTTTCCTAAGAAAATGAGATGTATGTAATTTCACTGGATGGTTCTCCTGGTTCCCTGCAGTAACTTTTTAATAGGGACTGAAAAACTCCCCAGAAGGTACATTACATACAGTACCTCTCCTGGAAATTAACACCTGAGTGAGTTGGGAGCAGGGGAGTCCTGAGAGAGACAGAGAGGGGCAGAGAGCACTGAGGGCCCTCTGCTCTTGCTGGTGCCTTTCATTATGGGCAGCACACACAGGGTAGCCTCTGACATCCCTTGCCCCCTCAGGGTGTCCTGACAGGGAAACTCTGGTTATTGCAGGCAGGAACATTAAATGACCCAAGTTTTCATTAGTTCTGCTGCTCACAAATATGTATTTTTTAGAGCTGGGTTGGTTTGATTTTGATTTTTTTAAAATTTGATGTGTGTTTGTACTGTTTGCAGTACTTGAGTGGAAGGTGGAAAGTGTGAGTGCATGTGATTTTGCACAGAGTCCTTTTCCCTTTGGAAAATGGAGTTCTTAGACCGTGCCAAAGTTTTTCCTGTAAAAGCTAATAGCAAACTGTCTGCTGGTCTCTTAACAGCAGTGGTTTCAAATTCTGTGAAGTGGATTATCACACCCAAATGTATTGGTCTGTGCATTAGGCTTCTCACCTCCTAGTCCAGCTGTACACCAGTTCTTTAGTACTTCCAGAGAAAATACTGACTCAACTACAAGCCAGAGAACGTTTTTAGTAACTCACCAATTATAAGGGAGCATGCTACATTTTGAAAAAGAAAAAAAGGTCCTTGTGATAACAAAGTGTATTATGCATTGTAATCTAGTAACCTAAGGTCAGAGAAACACCCCAAAAATCTTGATTGTCTTCTCTCTAATTGACAAAAGCAGTTGTGTTCATAGCTAAACAAGAGGCTCAATAGGTACTCTTAAGGATTTCATGTCATTTTTGTCTCACTCTGTATTTCCATGTTTTCTAGCACTCTTCTGTAACTATAACAAAAGCAAAATTATGCCATAATTCTGGCATAAAAATTTCTCAACTGTTATATGCATCTGTGTCTTTTTTCCAAACCATTGTCAGTTTGCAAAATATCTAGCCCAAAATCCTCTCAAACAGGGGATGAGTTCTATTTAATTACAGGTCTTCAGTCTGTCTGTTTTGTAATTGAGACTTTCCAATTGCATGACTCAATATCCATCTTAAATTAGAAAAGGTATAAATCTGTGTGTATAATTAGAAAAATAATAACTATTAAGGTTTTGATTCTTTTTATTTTAGCTGTACAAGGATCAGGTCTCATCTTTAGAACTGTGGAAGTTACTTTACATAAAGAAGGGAACACTTTTGGATTTGTAATAAGAGGTGAGTTATTGTTGAGTTTGAGCTCTGTATTTTCTTGTTAAAAAAAAAGTGATAAGTTTTTGAAGCACAAAGAAATATGACAAGATGTATGGCTTACAGTTTGTAAAAATCAATGTATTACATTTTCCATACTCTCGTATGTTGCTTTTATGGACTGCTCTAATTTTTGTTTATGGAAGAATTTTAAGTAATCAACTATGCAAAAGAAACATTACAAACTCTGGTCACATAACACCAGATTCTGTTACCACTGAAATCACCAGGAAGATCATAGTTGTTAAAAAAAAGATTTACATGTAGTACTTGTATATATTAGGCATGAAATTTGGTTAATACTGCTGGTAGTCTGAATTGAACAATTGAAATATCATTGACTTGGGAAACAGAAGAAAAGATGCAGCTGTTAATTACAATACCCTAATAATGAATTATTATTTTCTTCAGGGAAGATGTGTTTTTTTTATTTAATACATAAATTATTAGTGGTCACTCATTATTCTGAGTATACATAAAGTACAGATTTTTGTTCTCTGTGCTGCAAACATTGCAGAACAATGTGTTCACACTGAGATCACATTTTCAGAGTGAAGGTTCTAAGGAAAAAATAGTCATTTAGTAAGAATCCCTCCATAGAAATGTTTTTAAAGACTCATCTATACATAGAGTAAGTTGATTTTATTTAGGTAGAATTCAGTAGAGGGTCATATTAATCGCTTGGCCATTTTTTAATTTTTTTAGCCCATCTGTGAAGGTGCATGCTACAAGATGTAGGCTTGCCTTTTGGAAATGAGTTTTCATAAAAAGCATAAAATGAAGGTATACTTTCTCTGACTTTTTCCTTTCTAGGTGGAGCACACGATGACAGAAATAAATCTCGTCCTGTAGTAATAACATGTGTCAGACCTGGAGGGCCTGCTGACAGGTACAATTCATCTTTCTCTGGAGTTCATGTGAAAGAGAAATGGAGAAAGGTGAATTATTTGGGACAGAAGTTAAGATTTTGAGTGAAATAGATGCATTTAAATATAGTCCTTTGAAATTCATGGGTTTGTCTTTAATTGTAATAGAAATAATAACAACTGCAGCAATAGTAATGGGCAACCACAGAGGCTCAGCACGTTATGGTGTGTGCAAACTTTAATTTAGAATCTTGCACCCAAAATAATTGGAATAAATTCCTGAAATAGGTCAGGGCACATTTTTTTTTTGCATTCTTCAGACAACTGATGTAGCTCTTAAGTATGCTTTTTATACTCTTAACACCACAATCTTTTTATCTTGTGGTTCAGAATAATACTGTGACTACTTTGAGTGGTTTGTTATTCTGTTAAGATGTTTGTACATATCTGCATGTGAGGTCACACGTAGCTTTACCTAGAAAACTTCTGGATACAGATTTATGTTTTGGCCATATTTGTATATAATAATATATATATATATATATGTATATATATATATATATATATAGTAAGAATATTCACTTTATTTTTATGTACAAACTGTATTTTCAAAAATGGCATTTGTGTCCTTAAACCATTTAAGAAACTCAAAGGGCAGTTTCTTTAAAACAGATTGATATCTGTAGCCTATGCTGACATTTTTGACCTTGGAAACTGAGAAGAAAATATTTCAAGAGAGCGTTTCTTTTGTTCCCACACTTTTTTATCTCCTTCATTCCCTGGTTTCCTTGTTTTGCTCCATGATTCTTAAGCTGACAGTGTTAGTATTTAATTTTCTGTTATAATTCTTAATAGGTTGTGAGATATGCCTAGGAGACAGCATTTTAGATTTAGAGCTGAATTACTTCTAGGTAGGAAGAAATGAAAAACGGAATTACGCAAGTAAAAGATATTTTTAAAGAAAATCAATAAATGGGCATTCATATTTTGCAATCTGTTTCAGCACCCATGTGTTTGCACTTCGTGTTTATTTTTAAGAAAATATTGGAGGAGGATGTGTTTATGTATGTATGAAAACAGAGTTGTGTGGACAAGGTAGAAAGAAAGCATATGTTGAGCAGAAGCTATACTTGGGTGCAATTTAATGTGACTTGATTATTTCACTGTGTGGTAAGCTGTTTTCCAGTCACTGACTTTCCAATTAAAGCAATTTCCTTTCCACTGTGCCCTCTGATCATTCTCGCTGTCAAAGTAAATGTTAAGTGTTAAGGCAAGAGGGATGGATGTCAGGGAGGGTTCGAGAGAATCGCTTTGCATAAAAATGGTATTATCTCCAAATCAATTTGTCTTACACTAACAAAGATCACTCCTTTATTCTCCCTTCAGAGAGGGCACAATCAAACCTGGGGACAGGCTGCTGAGTGTTGATGGGATCCGACTGTTGGGAACAACCCATGCTGAAGCCATGAGTATTCTGAAGCAGTGCGGGCAGGAGGCGACTCTGCTGGTGGAATACGATGTCTCAGTGATGGGTAGGTCGTGGGATAGGAAGTGGGGCTGTAACACTGGGAGCCATCTGTGATATATTGCTGCCTGTTCTCCATGAGCTATTTTAGAAGTGATTGTGACCTGTTATGCTCCTGGTAGCACTGCTATTCCCTTCTGCATTGTATCATTAATTCTGGGTTCATAAGGAGGTGAGCAGTATTTTACTGTAATTTAGCATTCTGACAATTCCGTGGTTTGTAGGCTGAAACCATAGTGTGGATTCTAGCAAAGTAACTTTTCCAGTGACTAGTTTATAATAAAGGTTAATGAAGTGTAAGCATTTCTGTCACATGAAGGAGGGGAATACTTGATCTAACAAGAATTCTTTTGCCTTTTGCTAGTGCTGCTAGTTGGACAAGACATAATTAAAAAGTCACAAGACTGCCACAGAGAAAGGAATAGGGGAGAGAAATTTTGTTAAGAATACAGAGGTGGCAAATGGCTTGAAAAATGAGCTTACATATTATACAAACTTTGATTGAACTCACTGAAAATATGGGAGGTTTTTTTTGTGAATTCAAGTAGACCAGATGATTTTTAACAGGAGATTTGGAATTTATTTGTTTCCATTTGTTTTGAAAATTGTCATGTTCCCTCAATTTTTTCAAGTTACAGAAAATTCATAGCAGCAAGAAACAGAAATACTCACCAGTCAGACTGAAATATTTCTTGTCTGTTTGGGGATTTTTCACTTCTTTTTCTGCTCAGTTCCACAGTCAGGTTTCTAGCCTAGCAGTAAAGCAGCCTCCTAGGGATTTGTGAAATAGCACTGTCGAACTTCAAAGCCTTGGAAAAGATTAATACTGAAAAGAATAATGTCAGATATTTGCTTATTCTGCAACAGCCCTCTTTATTCTTCTCTGAGACACAGATTTCTCTTTTTTTATTACAATATATGTCTCTGTTTACTTAACTGTCAAGAATTGAAGTGGCAGGTTTGTGTAGTGTCTGGCAGGCCTGATGGACAGTTGTACAGATTCGTGTCCAGAAAGGTGGAGACAGCTCAGATGAGCTCTAGCTTCTGAGAACTAGAATTTAGGTATTTTCATTTGTTTCTTCTTTTTCTTCAAAAGACGATGGATGACCAAACCCTGCCTATCATCACAGTTAAATCAATATTCTTTCTACTCCACTTTTTCTGAAATGAACCCCTGGCTGTAAACGAAGTTCCCAGCAAACTTTCATTTCAGAGAAAACTCCCATCCCCATTTTCCTTGTATACCCCAGGGGGAGAATAAGCCTCCATTTCACTGAGGATATTTGGAAATCTTTGAAGGTTTCTGTAAGGAGGAGACCACATGATGAAATACTCTGTTGTGTCCTAAATTGCAGCTTGTTCAAGGCAGGAACCTTCTTTTCAGTACTATCTGGATAAAGCTCAGTTCAGGAGGATACAGAACTTAGGTGGTAATTTCAGGCTTGTAACTCTATAGGCAGCATCTACCAGTCAGTCTCTTTGTGTCATTTGCTCTCTGAATAAACTCTTTTTGTTCTCAGCACCAAATCTGGATTTACCATTCCTGCCTTCCTGGCAATGAATGTGTTATCCAACAGAATTAAAGGAGGTAAAAGAACCTGAGACTTGTGGAGTCAGAAGGAAGGAAGGAAAAGGAAAAACACTGGGAGCTGTTTGGAATGGTGGTCCAGCAGAATCTGCAAGAAGAAATAGTAGACTGTCTTTCTAATGCATTGTGATATTACCTAGCCCCCAGTAGGTTTTGACTTTTTTTCCAATTTGCGTGCCCTGCATAGTATTTTAGCAGTGGTGGGAACAAAAGATTTTGTTGGGAAGATCTCTTGTGCAGTTATTTTATGACCATGGTGCAAAGGCTGAAAATCATTCATCCTAATCCATTGAATCCTGGCCCAGGAAACCTTTTCTGATTTGAATCTTCTCTTAGTTTGCTCAAGAGCAGGAAAGTCAGAGTTGGGAGTCACATGAAAGAGAGAACGTGAGTCTTGAAGAGAAATTTTAAAATTACAGAAATGTTACTCTTTTTTCTCAACTCTTATGCTACCCATAAACTGTGTCTAAGGGTTGATGAGAATTTGAAAATAGGCTAAAACAAAGGAAGAGTATTGGGTAAGGTGACTTATCAATAACTGATGCTTGAAAATAGGTTAGTAGGTTAGCCTGCTTGAAAGGGGCAGAAACAATCCAAAAGTTACACAGAAGTCTAGTATATTCTGTAGGGTCCTCCTGGTATAAGCTTTCAGTAGAATATGTTACTCCTAGAGATATAATTGTAGCACTGTTTGCTTTAATACTTTCTCTTCTGTTAGTGATGGTAGTATCCTGTAAAGCAGTATTCTGTGTGGCCAGAACTGGGAAGAGCCATAAAATACATTCTGATAGCATGAAATTGGAACTTGATTTGAAATGGTTTTACTAGATGAAGAAAATAATCCTGAACTATTTTTCAACTACAGTCCTGTAGTGTGTAACTGACTTTTCTTACTCCTGTAAGCATAAGCTGTTTCAAAGGTGCTCTATTTCTCAAAGTTTAGTTCTCCCAGCTGAAGTCTTCAAGAGGTCACTTGGGAAGCTTGTACATTTTATTGTTTCTGGACCCTAGACAAACTGGAGTAAAAAAAGCATTAAGGGGTTCTGTGCAGGGTAATCAAGTGTGTATATAATGTAAGAGATGTGGCTGTTCATGTTGAACTCTGGGGTTACACCTGTGCTTGCCTAAGTACATCCTGAAGTCTCCTGCTCTGCTGGGTCCTAGGAAATAAACTTGTCAATTCAGGTGCTTGTAAGAGATTTTTTTTTTTAGACTCTGCTGAAAATATTTCCAGGTTGGTGTGTGGAGTGTACTGCTGTGTAGTTTCAAAGAGACTTTGTCTTAGTAGGACTTTGAAAATACCAAGATAATCCCTGAAGAAAATTGAAAAACCTAATTTCTGAGAAAGTATTTTATAATGTGATAAAAGTTACATTTGAAGTTGTGGAGGATGCAGTCTTCCAAATGTCTTTCTGTTTTCCAGAACACATTCTCCAGTGTTGAAGTACTGTGATTGCTTACCTTTCTTGTTGATTTTAGAGGAAACTTCCTGTGTTTTTTAACTCTGTGATGCTTAAATAATGCTGCACTTCAGTGTTTGCAAAGGACGTGGATATAGTGACTGGCTCTACACAAAACTGTATAGAATTAACATGAACTTTGTGGGCTTTATTACTTTTCTCCATAGTCCTTACACCTTAAATGTCTTTCTGGTTATGTGGATCATGTGTTTTCATCTAGTAGTGGGACAGGTCTGTATAGTGCAGCTCTCTGCCCTGTGATTACACCTGAGCCCTCATTCTGAGGAAGGGGAGAAGTAGAGGCAAGGTAGTAGCTAGCAGTGACTTGCTGCTGCTGTCAAGATAATTTTACAACCTGAATCCTCTCCTGTGGCAATAAAATAAAAAATATTAATTCCAAGCTATAAAATTAGGTTGGAGAGAGTGAAATTCTCACTATTAGGCAGTGGTCAGATGAAGTACCATAACTAACTGTTCACAGCTAGAGTTGTAGTGAGAGTGAGAGTTATAATGCAATACTAATAACAAGCTACAAACAAAGATTCACAGGGCCTTTGTCTAAAACAAGAAATAAAAGGTTATCAGTACATTGAGGAGATGCAGTTTCTCTTCAGGTTTTCAATGATCTGCCATGATGCCACTGGGCTCTGTGTGGTCTCTATAATTGGGGTTGCGTCTTGGGTAACCTTCCATATTTTCTCTGAAAGGGAGCAGTCAGACAAGTTCAAAGGTAGTGACTACCTTGAGTTTAAATTCTGGCCATTTTTATGTAACTAGTTCATAAATGGCTGTTGATGATCTTTTGCAGCAACCTACTTTTTAAGTCTTGGATGCTCATGCTGAGGCAATCTTTGAATCAAGGATACTGTAGTTAAACAAAACTAACAGCTTTTGCCAGAACTTGGGCACAAAAGAAGCTTTTTTTAGTTTTTTGCACTTGTGAGACACAACATCTTTCTCTCTTCAATGGGTGTTTGTTAGTTCAAACCACTCTGTAGTGTTCAGGAGTAAAGGAACATATTGCACTTGCAAATTCCATATGTTTCTCTGGCTTCTTTAACAGTTCTTGCTCTTATTTGAGCCAGAATAGATTTGCTGGAATGTGGCACCCTGTAAGTTTTCTCTACAAAACAGAAGTAGTCAGCTTGTTCTCTGTTGCAAATCTACCAGTCACCCTGGCACAGAACCGCTTGATTTTAACGAGAGCAATGCCCTCTATTTTGTCAACTCAATGTTTAACACTGATAGAACTCCCTAGAAAGGGGAATATTGATGCAGACATCTGCTAGTAAATCTTTTTGCTAGCCTCCTCCAAGGCTTTTGCCTCTTTAAGTTCACCCATTAAAATAAGCTAATTAATTAATTAATTAGTACTGTAATGATCTTATGAAAGTATATTTATAGAAACCTGCCTCACCTTTCAGCGATTCTGCCTGACAAGAAGAGCACTAGGGAGAGAAAATTTGCACAGTTTAAAGATCAGGTGAGAAAATCCACAGTCAAGTGTAGACTTTCAGTAATGTGTGGAAGGCAATAAATAGAGGAGAAAAAAGAACTTATGGGCTGACCCTTAGGTTTCATAAAGCAATATCACTCATCCAGAGCTGTGGAGACCCTTAAAAGCTAGACATTTTACAAGCCCAAAGAAGCAGAAGCCCCAGAGACTCCAAGGACTGACTTGGGATCTTCATAAGCCTTGTAAGTGTTGCAAGACCCTGCAAGTTGAAGTAAGGTCAGGAGCCCTGTAGGATTCCACACTGCCTTTTTCTTTCTGTTGCTTTACAGACTTAAAATGTACATTTCTCTTGTCTCATATAGGGTTTTGACAGAACAGGTAGGTTAGCATACTCTAGCATTGGACTGCAACTGCCGGTCTCCTGGCTGTCCCAGGGCTATAGATTTAGATGCCTTGAAATTCTAAGTATGAATTAGCTGCCTAAAATTTTGAAGAAATTTTCT